TTCCTAGGTGAGTTGCTCATCCTTTAGAGTACACTGCCTCTACTGTAACAGAATACAAATATAAAATGCTGCCGTACGTGGCATTTCTAATAGGGAGCTTTTGAACTACGATCCCTCCAGCCCCCATTACTAACCTCTGGATCAAGGTCATCGAGAACATGCTCTAGCTGTTTCAGTTCATCCTCTGAGAGTTTGCTGAGTATTTCATCTTCATTGATATTCTTATATTTCTCCAACTCTTTTCGGAAGGGCAGAGACATGGCTCCTGCTGCACTGCTCCACTGGTGCTGCTCTTCAAGATGTCAACCATCCAGGAGTACTGAGCTTCTTGTGGCTTCGCTCACTGTTAACAATAAAGCATTAGGAATATCTCTATTTAGCTGATATAGTCCTAAAGAGCCCGCAATGCTGCGAGTCACATTTACACTTTATTAATGAAAACAAAGCAGCAAGATGTGGTGGCTCAGCGGAGGGGGTGGGAAGCGCTGGGGCTGCCTGTGCAGCAGTCGCCGAGGAATAGCGAGGAAGGGTTGCGGGTGCAGTGGCAAAGAGAACCTTTCAGGCATAGATAAGAAAAAAAACATTGGGATCTTATCATTTTCCATAGAGATAAATCTGGTTTATTTAATTTGCTTAGAAACAGCAGTATCTGCTTGTTCTTTTGGCTAAAGGCAGAGGAAAGCAGTAGTCACAGAAAACAGTCCAATGCTGACAACCAAGAAACAAAATGTTATGCCTCGAGGTATTCTATCTTATCCCAGCTTTGCTGATGGCTGAAAGCTTACCCGCATCGTCTTGACTGGCTTTTTGGTTCATTCTGGTTACCTAAGCAGCTATAAAGTATGCTGGTTGGTACTCTTATTTCAATTTTTTTGGCTACAAATGATAGCACTTATCATCAAAATAATTCTTGCAGTGGCGATATGCTACTTATAGCTCAAAAGATCACCTGTAAATCAGTCTGCTGCATGGGGCACCTGCAGGCATTCAAAACACGGTCATTAAAAAAAAATACAGACTTAGTAATTCAGAAACTCCTTAAGTTTTAAAACTTGAATGTGGTTCCTAGATGATCCCAACTGATCAGTAACAAGAAAGCGTCATTTGCGTGGCCCCGGTAGTCACTGTCATGTAATTTGTCATATGATGAAGGACTCTCTGTCTTTTCTCGCTCTTTTTTTCCTGTCCAGAACCAATTCTAGAAGCGGAATCTGCCTGTAAATGGATGGAGTGAAAGAGGATGAATGTCTGATCAGAGACAGCATTAGCTGGGGACTCTAACTGTGCTCCAGGCCCCCCAAGTCTGCCCAGTTCCCCACCCAGCACCGGAGCTCTCTGAATTACACAGCTAGCTGGGCAGTTTTACAGCTCCGTTTCTGCATTCACAAATTTCAAAGTTACGGTTGATATGGAAACCAGCCAACCGGAGCTTACATCTGCCTTATCTATCAGCCAGAACTCGGATTTCCTTTGGCCAGGCCCATAGTGGTCATAGACTAACAAAATCCATGCGAGTTCTATCGTTCTTCATATGAGCTGGAAGCCTGATTTTTATTTTCCTTTTATTCAAAATCTAAATGAAAATGTTGCATTTACTTAAGAGTTTCACTATTAAAATACTAAATATTAAAACATATCTCATTTTTCTATTTATCAAAAAGACCAGAAATCAGCAACCTATAGAAAGGGAAGAGAATAATGAGTAGAATTACAAATTTGAAAAATCTGGAATTCTATGAATGCTGCAAGGCATGATAAGCCTTGACTTGAAACACTTAAGCATGCTATTCCAAGCAAAAACATTATTTCCCTTAAACACTCTCATTTTCTGCTTTGGTACTGCTTTGGTACTGCTTTATTTAACCAAATTGTTTTCATAGCATGACATCCTCGTCAAGCCATTCCAAATGTGATGGTAGAACTCAGCTGTTCTTTAAATTGTCAGTTTCTTTTAGGAAGTCAGTCAGCATCTGATGTTTCACAAAGTTACAGTGGTTGTGAAAAATTCTTATATTATATCAATTCCATCATATGTGATGAGTGTGAAAGATATTTTGGCATAAAAAGTCCTAAAGAGCTAATGGTTTTGTGTACTTGGCACTTAAAGAGAACACTGGTTCTACATACATTTAGTTGACACAATTTGTTACCAAAACAGCTTGTGAAATAATGAAAACATTTTATTTAAAAGTGGTAAGTATATTGGTTCAAACTGTAAAAACCAAATTCAGCTGCAATACAACATTTCTGTACTAAGGCATCAGGCACCTTCTCTAAGTTTCTTTGGATAAACTCATTAAATACGTAACATTTCAGCTAGCAGTCATTAACAGGGCTAAAAAATTTCTTTGAGGGGATTAGAGCTTTCTAAAACTCTTACTGAACAGTTGAAATCGTTATTTTATTAGAGTTTAATCTCATCCCTGGAAAAGACAGAAATGTAATCCCAAGGCTAGGTTAATTAAATATTGTTGGAAAAGTAACTAGTAAGAGTACATAACAGTTTCCCTGGCTGAGGTTCAGCACTTGCGTCGTGCAGGACGGCTGGTAGGAGAACCTCTCCCTCGGCTGTGTGGCGTGGCACGATTCCCACCAGGGGACACGGCTGAGAACTGCTTTACCCATAGCGGCACGCCCATGGGGGTAATGGCTTTTGTGAAAAGGTTTGCAAAGTTGAATCCAGGTGCTAATGGGCAATTACTGCAGAGTATGATTTGTGTGTGTACCGGACATTTTTGATTTCTTTGTAAATTATTTAAGTGCTTAGCCATAAAGGGAAGACATGCCAGGATACGCTTTTCAACACGTGACAGTTTTCAATGCTGCCACTGTTTTCTTCTAATTATTAGGAAGAGAAGATATTTGACCATGTGCAGCAAGGATACCCACAGAGAAATATAAACCCAGATATTAAAGAAGTATCAGTCTAACTCCTCTCGTGGCACGAGCACTATGTTGGATAACCCTTGTTAGATCAGTGGTGCACAGAAGAGCTTGAAATCATGCTTTTCTTGCACGCATACGTTTGCAACAGAAATCCCCTCGACATTTTCCCTTTCACAACTGGCTCCTACTCTTCTGTGACTGCACAAAAGCAAAAGACGCTGCTTAGGGAATTTCTCTGTCCACAATCCCTGTAAGTAGTAAAGCTTTTCTGGAGCTTGCACCCTGCCGTACAGGCTAGTAAAAGCTCCGCTGCAATGCCTATCGTTCATAGCCTGGCTTTATGCTCACTGCTGACCTTTCACCACAATCACATTATCGGAAACCAAGGGAACAAGATAAGTCCAACAATTCAGCATCATTTCAGTCGGGGAAGGAAATGCTGAAGTCTTGAGTTATACACTCTGGAAATTGCTGTCTAAAGTGATGATTATGATCTCCACCTTCCTAATTGGATTTCATACTGTTAACTTTGTGTATGTAAACAGGGCCATATGCTGCCTGTGGTGCTCCTTACTGTGGTTGGACTTTTCTGAGTGTGCACATACCTGCTTACATTTTACAGATTATATCCACTGGATTTTCTTTGTTATGATTCCTATATGAAAGAAACATAGTCCAAACTTTAATTGGTTACAGAAGCAATCATAACCAACCAACAGCCCCGAGCCACTGTTACTGTGAGCAGTGAAGAGCAGATCAGGCGTCACACAGTAGAGAGGAGAGGTTCCATCTAACTGCAGAGGGGACACGCTGTGAATGTTACACTGCAGCAGGGACACCGAGGGAAGCAGAATGAGGGACCACGGGTAAGACTATGGATTTTCCCCATCAAACTTACTGGGAAGAGTGAATAAGGAGAGTAAGGCATAGAGAAGCACAAATGCCATTTGTTTTTTCCATTTAGTTTCAATACGGAGCGCCGCAGTGTACCATGGGCTCAAATACCCCCTGTTAAACAGCAAAGCATGCTGCTAGATGCCCAACGGGTTAAAAACATGCTGATTCAGGATAGTGGAGAACGACGGAAAGTAGTATTTCTGCTAACCATGTGCTACTTTTAAACCTTTGTGGAGCACAGATGTTTTGCAGTGAGCTTCAAAGACTCCATTGCTATATTTTTATCATTGATTACATCTAAATTAAGAAATACATACTTCTATTTTGTTTGGGGCAGCTTTTTCACCCATGCTTGTCAACATCAGGATTCAAAATACATTTTCAATGACAAAAAGGGCGTCATTAGTCAGCCTGCATAAAATCATTACTGCTCTATATAGTCAACACCTGCTGCACTATATAACTCCTCTATACTTTGCTCGTTCCGTATGTACTTTTTGGTTATAATCCTTAGACGCTACTGAAAGGGTTTTCTAGAGTAGCTAGGCTGTAGTTTCTGCTGATACCATAATACTGTTGTAATTCTCTACTGCTGATACAGATATTTCTTTCTGAGAAGGAATCAGTCCTCTGCTGCATTAATGTCAGATGTCAGAGAGGTCCCACTTGCATTGGCTTGGATCCCTTGAGAGGTTTTGGAATAACCTGACCTGTAGGACCTTCTATGGACCAGCAGCTACAAAGGCACATCGGGTCACTCACGCTGTTTAAAACACAGGCTATACACCTAGAAAAACAGAATCTCTCCGAGGTCCTGTAGAGATGAGAATACTATGATACAGATGACTTGAATTTCTAGCTCTTGATAGTAGTGCAAGCTAAGAAGCTGCATGGCAACGTGCATTTATTATGTAAAGAGAGGTACTGGAGGGGAAATAATCCAACAGTCTGCATTTTTATAGAAAAAATCTTTTTTTATAATCAGAATAGAGAAATTGTTCTCGCTCTTGCAAATCATGGCAACTGATTTTTAGAAAGGAAATCCTGATGCACAATCTATTTTAAACTATCTCCATATCCACAGAGTGGTGGATATTCGTGTTTTGAAAAATAGCTGTGAAACTGGTCTGTAAATGTGGAAAAATTCTTCCCTTTCTTTAAATAGTATCAAGTAGCTAAACATGAAAATAAGAAACAGGTGGAATAAATCCCAAGTTAAATTGATACTGGACCAAATAAATAGGATTGGGGCCATTATGATTAAGAGCAGTGTTTGTGCAACACAAGCAGATGCTCAGTAGGAAGGTGATTGTCCTCACCATCCAGGCAATGGAGGGCTCCCAACAATAGACTTAATCCAGTGCCAGACAGGGGACCTCTCTGATGTCCAGGAACTGCTATGAAAAATAAGGCTGGGCTGTTGAAAGCTCAAACTTTAAAACAAACAAACAAACAAAAGTATCTATAAATACTCCATTATTTGACATATAAATAAGGTTCCTTTTTTATTTTTATACTTGAAAAGCAAGACCAATATGTATTTTCTAACCA